TATTCGGCCGGGGGTTTGGGCTCACAGAAGCGTACACCATTGACAGCAAATATATGCATCAACTCCTCCTGTTCCTTGGCAATTACTAAATCTTGATTTTTAATGAGCTTGCAAAACGCTTTATGCGCTGCAGCCATAAGGGCCCCTGTCACAGTTACGCCCTTGGATCTACAAACGTTGCGAATTTGTGATGTGTGTGTCTCAGAAAATACTTTGTATACCAAGTCACATACTTCAAGCGAGGGTTGTGTCATGAAAAATGGGTAGGGTTTTTCGGGTTTGGAGGCTAATAAGATGGATAACTTTAGTCTTTTCATGAATTTATACATGAAATGCAATCCTACATATTCCTGTAAATCCGTCCAGGAAGATCTTGATCGAGTTTTACTGATCATCGCATAAAAACTTGGCAACAGCTCATGACTCGGAACATCTTCGCCGCCAACTCGTGTGTTTTCGGCAACACTATTAAGGTAGCTCAAGAATTGGTTGCATAAACTCATCCCCGATACCCCGTCAACGATACTGTGATTTACACGGAAAACTATAGTGTTCACGTAGTTCTCGCTATCTGGAAGATATTCCCCTGCGAACAAAACTGCTCGCTATAGTAAGCCAGTTTTTATCTGGCTCATAGCGGTATCGTACCACGCTTTTTGCCACTGCGATGCGTTGACATCAGACGTTGTTAGGTCAATCATGTCTCCAATTTTATTCGCTTCAATTATCTCGAAATATCTTTCATTGCTTTTCCGAAACCACGAGGAATTTGAAACAATTTTAATAACAGCTCGAAGCAATGGTTGCCGTTTGGCTAAACATAGTAAAGCGTCACGAACAAGCGATTCTTTGAGTTTCTTTTTCGAATGCAAGAACAAGTGTCTGAGGTGCCTTGTCGTTCATTACTAAATATCTCCATACTTTCTTCAAACTTGCCCAAACGTCGGCTTGAGGAAGATGGTCGAGATTCTGACTCATGACTTGCATGTACCGCGGCTCTCCTAAATAAGCCTCGTGTTAGGATGTAAATAAATATAATCGCTAAAAGTGCGATGAAAATTTGAGCAAGAATCGACATAGTATTTATGTGAAGTCTGTGAAGCGTATTACATATAAAGCCGTTTTATAATTTTATTCAGTTTATTTAATAAATGATATTGCATATTCAACGCAGTTCGCGATGCATTTTGGGATCACAAGATTATAGTAACGCTGGGACGTGAAATTGTTTTCATCGAGCTATGCCACGGCGCTCGCAGACTCGCAGTTCGTCCGAAGTGTAGTGCTGTGTGTAATAAGAATTGCTAACTGCCGAGTACCCAGAACTGTTTGAAGCTAAAGGCAAAGCTTCGCTCCAAATCGTTGAAACGTTGAATTATATGTATATTTAACATCTTGTACTCATGTGTCAAAGTAGTGTGCGGTCTTGGAGAATCGGCGCTTGCGCTACTGCGTAATTATTTGACAAACCGAACTCAAAATGTAATCTCCAAGGAATGCTTTCAAAACAAAGAAAAATAACTTGTGGCATTCCTCAGGGAAGTATACTTGGCCCTCTTCTCTTTACTATATATATAAACGATTTGCCAAATTGCCTTAAACATACAACACCCAGAATGTTTGCAGATGATACCAGCCTAACAGCTGCGGGAGAAACATTGAATGAAGTAGAGAAGAGGAAAAAACGAAGACCTGAAGAATGTCCGAAATTGGCTATCTGCAAATAAACTTAATTTAAATATCGCCAAAACTGAGTACGTTCTCATTGGATCATGATATAGAACAAATAGTTTGGATGTTCAACCATCAATCAATATTGATAAACAATCAGTCAAAAGAGTCAAAGATTACCAAAGTGCTCGGAGTCCAAATTGACGAGCGTTTAAACTGGGGAAAGCATATTGAATCCATCGCTAGTAAAATATCATCAGGAATTGGCGCTATAAAAAAAGCTAAGGAATTTGTTGACCGGAACACTTTGGTTTTGATATATAATGCTCTAATCCAGCCGCACCTCGATTACTGTTGCGAAGTTTGAGACGTAATAGGTAAAACGCTTAGTGATCGTCTTCAAAAACTGCAAAATAGGGCGGCTAAAATAATTATGAATTTCAAAAATGCATGAGTCTGGACAATCCTTATTGGTTCGCAATTCACTTGGTATAATTGGATAACCCTTGAAGAACGCAGAGCACAAATGAAAGCCAGACTTATGTACAAATCGTCTGAAATCGATCAATAAATTAACTCCCCAAAGACTGAGTAACTTTTTTCAAAATTCAAATACAATGTATGATTATGATTTGAGAGGGTCATCAAGTAGGCTTTGCCTTCCCAAGCCTAGAACATAATATCTAAAAAAATGTTTCAGTTGCAATGGGGCTCATGTCTGGAATCAAATTCCGGAAGACATAAGAACTTCGGCATCTTATATTTCGTTTTGTGAAAAGCTTTCTTCCTCGACCTTTTCATTTAGCAATAATCATGCTTAAATTATAGTAGTAATTTCTTACATTTCTTTATTAATTTATAGTACTTATTAGTGAACAAATTCATATTTATACATCATAGGTAATTAATGGGGGGGAGCGGTTTATTCTATCATAGTAGTACACACCTCTTTTGGAAACCAGCATTAATATTGTTGAAAAGATTAGTGTGTTTTTACTTTTCAATAAAGTTTATCCATCCATCCATTCTCGTACCCAGAGGCCACACGAGAAATTTTCCTCGACAAGTTTTGTTTGCTTGTTTCACGACAAAAAATTGACACTGAATTTTTCTAGTCAAGTCTGCTTTTTTGTTCGTGCCAATTAAGGAAAACTTGGCAAGTGTACAGGAATTGAAATACTTCTATAAAAGGTGGCCTTGGCACGCCTTGCCCTTGAGGTGAAATAAATGTTTTAGAACATTCCGTGCACACGAGCTTGTCAAAGAAATTTGTCAAGGAGAACGCGTGCTGGTCTGTAAGGGGCTTCACATAGCCCATGCACTAACAGTAAACTGGCTCAGCTCGATTACATAGAGGCGTAACTGCTGAGGGTTTTGGGGGCACGCAAAGTTTGCCGCGGGGCAAATTTACCAAATGACTCAATAATTCGTCGGGTTAATTATTCATGAGGAAAACACAAAGAAAAACCATAAGCGTGTCGTATGTTTAGCGTGATAGTAGAGATTTCCCTTGATTCACATAAACTTTAACGTTGATTTTATCGACTTACACAACGTATTTTTTGAAAATTACTTCGCCAATGAACTTACTAGATCGATCGTTTTTGCGGCAATTTAAAACATTCGCAGTGCGTACGAGTATCAGATCTAAAGATACTAACTCGGCTTCGCCTCGATAAAACACTGCTGCTCATGTTTCTGTTTTAACCGTAGTCTAAAAATTTCAATAAATCATTGACATTGTAGAGATTTCAAACAATCTGAAACGTACTGTAACTACTTAAACAAGTGAAAGTTAGCAATTTTAACAACAGATAGTTGAGCCTCTCGGGCATGATGGAAAAGACGGAGTACGGAGTCGGTCAAAAAATTGTTTATTTTGCCTAAAGATTCGATTTTAATGAGACTCCGCGTTATGGGGGCATAAAGTGGAAAATGCGGAGCTTTGTTAAAATCGAATCTTTAGGCAAAATAAACATTTTTTTGAAAGACTCTGTACTCCGGCTCCGTTCTCCGTACTCCGATTCCGTACTCCGTCTTTCCACCATTCTCTCGAGAAAACAAACGTATATTATAGTATACGTAGTGTAAGTATATTATATCAAGTGTCAAAGTTCATGTTTTCTTGCATCTCATTTGCATGACGAGAGAAATTCGGCTCTCTCCTGGCAACAGCTCTGAGCGGTTGACATACTTTTATTCACTGGAGAATCAGTAAAATCGTCGGAGTTATAACGCGAAATTTTTCCCGTTTTGGTTGTTTTAATTTGTTTTCTTTGACCGCTTGGTAAGACTGGGTCCGAGGGAAACAGAATGTTTTTGTATGCATCCCAATCGAGCTTTGGATTATACAGTCGACGTATTGACTGAGATCGACATGTTTTAGATGCACTTGAAAACCAAAGATATTAAATTATTTACTGTAAATGAACAAGCCCGATGGTTTTAACAAATCAACAGTAATATTTAAATTTCATCTGGCTGTCCAACTGACTACCCCGCAGTCTATCCACTGCACCGAT